AGAAGTAGAAAGTACAGGTATTTGTGTTCAACATGTAAGAAGTAGAAAGTACAGGTATTTGAGTTCAACATGTAAGAAGTAGAAAGTACAGGTATTTGTGTTCAACATGTAAGAAGTAGAAAGTACAGGTATTTGAGTTCAACATGTAAGAAGTCAAAGTAAAAAGTCATCAGAAAAATAAGTAGTGGAGTAAAGTACTGATACCAGAAACATGTACTTGAGTACAGTAACAAAGTATTTTTACCATCTCTGCTAAACCCCAATCCTCACCTGCGTTTGTTTTTATATTTCAGGGTCGCACACACATCTTCAAGATCCACGCTCGCTCTATGAGTGTAGAGAGAGACATTCGCTTCGAGCTGCTCGCCCGCCTCTGTCCCAACAGCACCGGTAAGACTCCCAGCAACTAACCAACATCTGTTCTCTCAATTCTCTCCTAAAAGAAAACCTCTCGCTATATATCCCATACCCCACTTCTTCCTGTAGCTTTGTTTTACATCACTTCCTGTTCTGAGTATCACTGACATTTGATGTGGATCTGCTATCAGTGTTGAAGTTAAATGTAGCCAATTGAAGATATAAATGACTCAGTGTGTGCAACATTGATGCAGAACACACATGAACACAGATAGGAGATTCACTTAAGGTGTTCGTTGTCCCTTTTAATCTTTAATTTCTTATTTCACTGGTGTCTAATAAGGACTACTAGTTACTAATACTATGATGTGTTATGTGTGTATGTGGCCACAAGGGGGCACTGTAACATAATTGTGTCACTGTCCCAGGAAAATAGTCAAGTGTATATAATGGGTAAAAGAAAAATCTTTATAGGAGTTCAAACAATTGTTTTAAAGGTCTGACCTGCCTGTATATGCGTTCTTTCTTCCATGTACTATAATTGACAGCTTACACATATATTTTCATCACTTTTCCTGCTTAGATTATCGCAATTTAATTGTAGGAGCATAATAAAAAGCACTTGCATACAAATATCTTAAATCTTCTTCTAAACTCGATTTTTGAAGATCTTAATGCAGACCTGCAGGTAATGCAGAGTAAAGGCATTGTGTGTGTGAGTTGGTCAAATCAAGTAAGCAGGCTAATATATAGACCAATCAGACGGTTGCAAAAGCTGTCTCTTATCTTTATAATGTCTCCTGAGGTAATCCAAATGCAGCTGAACCGGTTTAGCGGCTAAAATGACAGCCTGAACTCGAACACTTCATCTTCATTGTCCTGGAAGTTGTTGTGTCAGCAGTGTCTGATGTGGTGTGTGTGTTTCAGGCGCTGAGATCCGCAGTGTGTGCACGGAGGCCGGCATGTTCGCCATCAGAGCCCGCAGGAAGATCGCCACGGAGAAAGACTTCCTGGAGGCCGTCAACAAGGTCATCAAGTCCTACGCCAAGTTCAGCGCCACCCCCAGATACATGACCTACAACTAAGTGTGTGTGTGTGTGTAGCTGGCTTTTTACTGTCAAAAGAAGCAAAACAAACTGTCCTTTTTGTTCTCACTCTTGTTCACTTAAAAATAAAGTTTATTCCAGAATTTAGTGTACGTGATATGTTTACAAAATAACCACATGACGGTAACATTTAAGGCATCTCGTAACCTTTAAATAACAACAACAACAGCTTTAACAAACAGTAACGCACAATACTACACAAGCATTGTACTGAACACACATGATACTGTTTTTGCTGGTTTGAATATGACACAGTATTTAAATACTCGTAGATCTATCAGAACACAGCTTCTCTGTAACATTTGATACCAGCAGGATGAGGCAGTCACTAAACGGAAATCATTCGAACAAGGTCTTATGGCAGCGGCTGCTTCTCTCATCTCCCAAAGACTTCTTAAACAATCCCAGAGAGGAATAAGGCTGTAGGAATGTCAGCTGGAAACTAATTTCCTGATTGGCTAAAAGCAAAACGTTGCTCTATGCACCATAAAGTCAGACTAAAGTGCTTCATCAGATGGCAAAACATCCACCTTGGCTATCGGTGGTTTCTCCCAATGCTAGCTGCCGTCACTCAACGTGGATCTGAGGTGTTTTAGCTTTGGTCGGAGCAAACGCTGGATGTGAGCGTTGGCAGCTCAGCGCAGCGTCGTGGACGGTGGGGAACACCATCTCTGGAGTCATGACCCCCGAGAAAAACTGTAAGGAGTCCAGGTCAGACAGGAGGTTCCCTGTGAGATCAGAGAGAGAGAGAGAGGTCAACATCTGTTCTCATATCACAGTGGTTTAAGTATTTACATATCTGAGTTTGTGCTCTACCATTAAAAAGGAATGCTTCACCCTCAAAACGATCATTTTTATATCAATTATTCAAACCGTTTTGCCTCCACAGTGAATAGGGAATCTAAAAGTCTTACTGAATGGAAGTAAACAACAGAAACTACACTGAACAAAAATATAAACGCAACACTTTTGTTTTTGCTCCCATTTTTCATGAGATGAACTCAAAGATCTAAAACATTTTCTACGTACACAAAATAACCATTTCTCTCATATTGTTCACAAATCTGAAAAAATGTGTGATAGTGAACACTTCTCCTTTGCCGAGATAATCCATCCCACCTCACAGGTGTGGCATATCAAGATGCTGATTAGACAGCATGATTATTGCACAGGCTATTCCTACCTACCTTACCTTTTTATCTACCTATCTACCTACCTATCTACCTATCTATCTAGCCTATCTACCCTACCTACCTATCTACCTACCTAATGGTTATCTACCTATCTATCTATTACCCTATCTACCTACCTACGCTATCTACCTACCCACCTACGCTATCTATCTATCTACCTACGCTACTCTATCTACCCAACCTACCTATCTATCTATCTATCTATCTCATCTATCTACCTATCTACCTACCCACCTACGCTTATCTCCTACCTACCTACCTACCCTCATTTATCTATTTATCTACCTACCTACCTATCTACCGTACCCACCTGACCTACCTATTTATCTATCTACCTACCCTACCGCACTCTACCTATCCTACCTATACTATCTACCTACCCACCTACTCTACCTATTTATCTACTCTTACCTAATGCTACCTACCCACCTATCCTATCTACCTACCTACCTACCTACCCTTTTTTCTACCTATGTCTTACCTATCTACCCTTATCTACCTATCTTACCTACCTATCTACCTCCCACCTACCTACCTATTTATCTATCTACCTATCACTATTCTATCTACTAATCTATCTACTACCTACCTATCTACCTATCTATATTCCTACCTATCTACCTACCTATCTACCTATTTAACGAGGGACACCCACTATCTGCTAAACCCTCACGGTGTTCGCTATAACTTTCATCTAACTTATTCTATCTACCTACCTTACCTATTCTACCTATCTATACTTACCTTTAGCGAAACCTACATTACCGTATTTTCACAGGTATTTTATCTTACTCGTTACCTATCTCATCATTAGTCGTAAATACATTCCTTACATGGTTCTATGTACAATGATTCTACGACCTACACATATGTCAAAGAGTCGACTTATGACTCCGACACATAATCTACATCTCTACCTACCTCTATCTAACCTCTATGACCTCTTATTTACAGACTTAAAACGACCAATACAACTAACACTAACACCTGACACGCCTAGGTCCCCTGTAAGTTCCTTCATGCCTGTGTCCCCTGGACACCCGTAGGACAAGGACCCGTTGTAGTCTACGCATACACTACTGAACCTGAGTGTTCTGTTAATGTTACTGCTAATGTACGTCTCGCTACTTGTACGCTACGGTCGATCGTTACAGAACTACGCTCTCCTCATTACGCTATGCTAACCACGTGACAGGATACACACTGATCACTGTCATCCACTATATTGTGTGTCTATTAGGTTTAAGCTCCTACTACGATCTCTATCTACGCATACTCTTAGCTTCACTTAACTTCTCGTAACTCACTCGTTTATGTAATTCGACAGTTAGCATACAAACCTCAAAACCTCTCTCACACTGATAACATAACTCTACATACTGATACGTTGTCTGCGTATGTTCTGAAGGCTGTTCTTACGAACCGGCTCCTCGACTAACGTCATGATGTACTATTTCGGGCGTGAACGCCATAAGAATGAGATAGAGAGTTACGTAACCTTCAGTACCGTAACCACTCTTACTATAGGGCAACATATACTGTCATATTCTATCTAAGGACAGCTTAGCAACTAGTGCGCTACTACTATGCTTAGGCTCTCATCACGCTAAGTTAGCGGTTATCTACTCTCAGGCTCCTGTGATGTGCTCTATGTAGTAGTTGCAGTTTGTCCTAATTAGCGTAGGTTCACTAACCATACCCTAGCTACGCTGAACTCTTCGCTCTACCTGGTACCCTCCCTCACTGAGGGTGACATATCTACCTGTACCCACCTTACCTATCTATCTACCTACCTATTCTACCCTACCTACCTACCTACTTCTATCTATAGCTCCTCCTCTCCAGCTCACTATCTCTACATCCCATTGCAAACATGGCAGAGTTTACAACGAATCTTTAACTCTGTATAAAGGCTAACACATATTCGCTTAGTACATATGATCTTTACCACGCGCTACCTACTCCTAAAGGGAATAAGACTTAGTGAATCTGGTACCGCTCAACATCTCTGTCTTTGTTTACATCTGAGTCTACTCCTAGGTTGTAGAGCCGAGTACCCGGACCTACCTATCTAAGGCATCTCTTAGCGCCTTATCTGTGGCTATGACAGTGGTATCTATCATGTCCATTTCTTGCCGACAGACGACGTATGTGGTGATCTACACCTGAGCGCAATAGTAAATCTCCCTCGGTTACATCAAGATATTAACGTTCTGTATTTTCTCGAGATACGCGTCGTATTTATTGTCATGAATGAGGGGTTCGCTCGGAATCACTCTTCTCACCTCTTCCGTGTGTTTCAGGGGACTACACGGACGATCATCGGTTGTCTGTGCTGTCAGACACATATACGCCACATAGAGACTCATCTCCACATGCTGGTCTAAGCTCGTACACTTCCGGCTGCATACTCTCTCTCTTCCATCGACCCTACCTATAGTGGGGGCTGAACATGTACATCTCACATAAGTCGGTTTTATACTCTAGTCTGTTTAGGCGCCTGATGACCTATTTTACTCCGTCTGCTTGATCTGAAATCTCAGGACATATATAGAGATGAATACTGGAAAATGTCCTATGTGTGACCCAACCTTAGCCCTTGTTGTCCTCCCTCCACCATCTGCATTTTCGAGACCTCAAAATAGGGACGAATCCGAACATCAGTAGTCACAAAGGGGAGTCCTCTCATTGACTCACCAAACATGAGACGTCCAAAATACCTTTATACGTCGGTACACCTGGCAAGTCCACCAGTAGCGGCCGACGTCGTCATTCAGGAGGAGTACTGAAAAGAGACACAAACAAACATAGAACAGTCCGACCCTAAGTGGGTATTTTATTAGGAAATATATTGGGCAATGAGGGGGGTTTCTAGAATTTCTTTTGCATGAACAGAACGTGCGGAACCTACCATTCTATTTCTTTAGTTACTTCTTCATTTACTCCGCCACAAATTGGTGTCGTTATTTTTGTAGGTGTGGCTTTGGACCATTAAATCAAAGGAGAGTATGACCAACATTATACGTGGTTACCGTATCCGTTCAAGGACAATACACTTTTGTAGAATGTAGAGATAACTCGAAGAATTAAAATTATATTAGGGTGGTGTGTGTCGGAAAGTCCGAACAAAGAGTACACACACTCAAACACAAACATAGCAAGTCCAAAAAAAAAATTTATCATACAAAAAACACTTTTCCGTTACACAAACCATTTCATCACTCATATCAGACTCTGAACGATCAAAACATGCGACTACAAAACTTTATGTGACTTGTTTTTATTATTTGCGTTTGTGAAAACAAAAACGAGTTCTGGTAAAAAGTACTCTACTTTGAGTTTCTAGATTTTGAAAAAGATATATGTGGTGTTTTATTGGTAAAAGAGAGTTTATAAACAAGTGGTTTAGACTTTTTTAGACACTATGCACTCGTGATAGAGGAAACGGCTCTATTAGTAGGGGTGGAGTGTCCTACCTACCGTATTAGTTCTACGATCCTAATCTGTCGTACTAATAACGGTGTCCAACGGAATCCGAACCGGTGTTATTTGTCAGGTGAGACTTTGCACGTCAATAACGAAATTAACCCCCCAACCCCCAGGCTTTTGCGTCAGTCATTAGACCACACTCCCAATCCTAATCCAATACCCATACAACACTTTGCTCACCGGACACAAGCAAACAGGTAATTGTATGCGGACGGGTATGGTATTGGGGGTGGTGGGTTGGTTACCCGGGTGAGCTAAGTGTTGAAAATTGATTTGGGATTGGGATGGGAGTGTGGTCTATGACTGACCAAAAAAGGCCTGGGGGGGTCTGGGGGGGGTTATTTCGTTTTGACCGTGCAAGTCTCACGGAAAAAATAACACCGGTCGAT